GCTCCGTGCTCACAGCCCAAACCAAGCCCTCGCCTCCACCCATAGGTGGTGTGTCCGGGTGTTTTGCAGGCTCCATTTCAGCACAGACTAGGCAGGAAATGGAGCGCTGGCTCCCAGGGGTGACAAAAGGCACCGAGGGAGTCCCGGGGCCGCTCCCAGCTGGCTTCATTTGCCTCGATGCCCACAGTCATGTCCTCACTGTGCTGCTCATTCCCCTGTGTTCCCCAGATTTCAGCATAGTGGGAGATGCCCTGGGGGCACCGCGGTCTCTCTTTTGTCTGCGTCAGCTCATTCGCTTGCGCTCCACAACCTTTGGGGGACCACAGCTAGGGAGAGCCCAGGTTGGAGAGAGGGCTCTGCACCAGAAAGGTCTGGAACGCTGAAGAGCCAGTGGTGCCACAAGGAAGGCCCGAGGGGGAGAACAGGACCCCTGGGCTCAGCCAATGCAGCCGAGGCGGCTCCTGAATCTCCACGTGGACATCAGGCAGGGCTGGTGGGAGACTCGGTGGTCCAAGGGGACCCTGAGCAGCGGTCAGAACTTTCCTGGTGCGGGGAGAAACCCCAGATACCTTAGAGCACTGGTTCTCAGCCTGTGGGTCGCAACCCCTTCGGGGGTCAAACAACCCTTTCACAGGGGTCACCCGATGCATAACAGTAGCAAAATGACAGTGATGAGGCAGCAATGGAAATAATTTTATGGTTGGGGGGTCACCCCAGCATGAGGACCTGTCTGAAAGGGTCGCACATGAGGAAGGTGGAGAACCACTGAAAGCTATGGATCAACAGCCCAGAACGAAAGCAAGAAAAGACACGTTGAATTTTGTCTAGTGCTTCTTGGAATCCTTCTCTGTGTCCCAGGTAAGGGCCCTACTTTAAACTGGGTGGAGGGTGTCAAACAATTGGGGGGTCCTTAACTTCATTCACTTAACCAACATGCATCGTGTCTCCAAAGGGACCCAGGAGCTGCCACATTCAATATGGCTTGTCATAAGCTTTGATTACACCAAATTAAAGGCCTCCCCACCCAATGCCCTTAGCACCTGTCCAGGGCCTCCCTGTCCCCGTCCATCTTCCCTGCCCAGCCCCACCCGCCCTGCTCCTCCTGCTGGAGACAGCCCTCCACCACCGGCCTGGGACTCGTCTGCCGAAATGGGGGAGGCGACTGCCGAGCCGGCTGCCCTGTTTCCACCGTCCCAAGCTCTCCAGAGAAATAAGCCTTCCATTTCTTCACCACTCCCACAGTCTCTCTCTCGGACCCATTGGTCCGTCTGCTGGTCCTTCGTGACATTCTAAGGGCCATGGCAGTTTGGCAGCTGGGGAAAGAAAACTGCTGAGGACAATGGAAACACTGTGTCTTGGACGCTCGCGGTAATTATCGAAAGGGACTGGTCTTTGAAAAAGGACCACAACTCCCCAGAAAACAGAGGAGACACGTCTCTGCATGTGTCACACCATCCCCAAGGGCCCGGCCGAGCATGCTGAGCTGGCAGCAGGACCGGAGGTTGGACTTGCGGAGAGCCATTGTTAGGAACAGTGTGGCTACAGACTTTAGCACGTTATGTTGTATCCATCTGATGGGTTTCTACATCAAGCACTGGGGATCCAAGGTGGACGAAGGTGGTGAAGGGGCCGGGGTGCTGGCAGCGGACAGGTACACAGTCAGCTGGGATCATTTCTTCCAGGGACTGTCTACAAAGGTGCAGGAAGAGTCCATGGAAAGCAGTAAGGGAGTGGGGGACCCTGGACAATACAAATGACTAAGCACTGAGGCAGTTACATCATCTGCTGTCAACTTGAGTGAAGGGGTGGAGTTTAGCCTGTCAATCATGCCGCAGCCAATGAGGCCTCTGTGTGGGCGTGGCCTTCTCCTGAGCATTCTGGGAACTCCTGTCTTCCTCCCTGGAGGTGGGACACACACTCTCCCTGGGAGACATTCCGGTTGACAATCCACATGGAGCTACACTGATGGAGCCAGAGCCCTGGAACTGGAAGAGCTACGTGGAAACCCACACCAACACTGAAATACTTCCACTGCCACTGGATCCACAAGACTTTCCACCCACTGGCCTGTGATCTTCCTGCATTCGGTGTCATTGCATGTGCTTAGTGAGTCTGAAGAGGAATGTGTAGATTGGTATCGGACATATGGGCTAATATTGGACTTATGGACTTGATCTGGACTGGGCTGGGAAGTTTTCTCAATATTCAATTGCTCTTGTATATAAAGCTCTTTCCTATACACACATAGTGTCTCTGGATTTGTTTCTCTAGTCCAACCAGATTAACACAAGCACCAACTACCAGCCCAAGAGTTGGCGGTTTGAATCTACCCCACAGTGCCTCACAGGCTGCCGTGACAATCTGCTCCCAAAGAGCCGTGGCCCCTAAAGCCCGTGGGGCCAGTCTATGCTGCACTCTCAGGCACACGCTGGGTTGCCATGAATCAGCACTGACTGCGGCAACGACAGCAACCAGGGGAATACACAGAAAACGAAAGCCAGAGCTAGGGGGAGGGGGCGTCTCAGAGTCAGGCGCTGCCAGACAGCACTGAGCAAGACTCCGTTAGGACTCCATTCAGTTCCAAGAACGGGCTGTGGACGGGGACTTACTGCCACTGGTCCCCACCGGCTACTAAACCAGGGAGCCGCAAGGTGCGTGGATCTCCAGCTAAGGCCCCAGTCTTCACTGGGAAAACCTGGCGGGGAGGCTAGCTCCTGCTCTCCAGTTCTCAGGTAGAGGAGCCCTGGTGGTGGTGTAGGGGTTACACATTGGGCTACTAACTGAGAAGGCGGCCGTTCTGAACCCCAAGTTACTCCTGGAGAGGAAGAGGCAGCTTCCCGTAGAGAGCTGCCCTCCTGGGCCGCCCTGAGTCAGGATTGACTCTGGTAGTGAGTGAGGTGGTTTGTTTGTTTATTTCTTTGTTTGGAGCACTCAAGTGAGCATCGACACCTGCCTCCCAGAGGAAATGTGATGGCTGGCGCCTCCCTCCCTGTTCGGCCTTCAGGAAGAGCATGGCTCAAGGACCCATCCATTGAAGGAGATGCATCATGTGTCTGCCAGGCTCCAGGGGTTCAGCAGGCTCTAGGGACCCAAAGGAGTAAGACAGACACAGTCCTTACTCTGGTACGTTTATTCAGCAAGCGTGGGTGAGCGTCCCTGGTGCACGGCCTTGGCGGGGGTCAGGGGATGGGGGGCAGGCACAAAGGAGAGAGATGGAGTGATAAGTACATATACAGTAATAGTCAAGTCGGTGGGCATGCTCCCCCA